AACTGCTTTCTCAAGCCGAGGTAAGAAAGAAGGTCCCTATTCCAAAGAGTTTGCAGTTGAGGCAGACAAAATGAAGGAAGATGGTGCATTAGCAATATAAAAGTTAGCACATAAACAATTGAGCACATATCTGGGAACAGAACAAATATCTTCTAAGTCCCTCCTCAGACATAAGGCTTCACCTTCAAGTAAAAGCCATATGGCTTAGGTATGAAACTGTGAAGTTTTTAAATCAAGTCACATTTGTCTTTCATATGGACATACTTTCTCCTAAAAGCAAACTCAACCATTTTTCTGACACCATGCAACTCTTGAACAATGTTCTGACTTACAGCTAAAACAAAACCACCTGCAACTGCATTTCTATCTCACTTAGCCATCTTTTTCAGCGGCACATCCAAATTTTCTCCACCATTTGAAACTGTTGGGTGGATTTGCAGAAACAAGCATGCACAAAACATTAATATTCAAACTGAAATTTGCCTGTTCTGGGAATAGACACTGACAAGAGCCATGCTGTAATATCTGCAGACACACCTGAATCACTTTGTCTGGAGTCCCAGGATAGCACTGGTAACACAGTACAGTACTGCGAAACCACACGGATCTTTCACCTCATTATTTAATGACTGCAAATGACAACCCTGAAATGGTTAAAGATCAAACTAGGGCCTCAGTATTGTCTGAAACTTAGCACCTCAGGTGGCCCCATGCCCTAAACCATTATAAAACATTGACTCAAAGGAGATCAATACCAACATATCCTGGCAGTACTGGAGTTAGGAGCTTACGAGATCTGACAAGCCCACAGCTTGAAACAGTAATTTGCAGAGAATTATAAGATTGCTTATTATTCTTACTATACTTTAAAAAAAAAAAAAGAGTGTTTATGTTTACTGGAAAAAAACCCTATTCTCATTTCAGCCTTTATTATTTTAAGACATTGCATTTTTATTCCTTACATCAGTGAAAAGGGTCATCTCCAGATCAGGATCCAGCATTTGTTTTGTTTCAAAAAAAAAAGATAATTCACACAGAGGACTTTGCTACAGTTACTAGTACCATATTTCCAAGCAGCAATAAGTGCAATGCCTAAAATCTTTTCAAATTAATAAAACCAAATGGAAAAGAAAAGGGAAGATGGTAAGACACCATATCTTAACAGCTGGTTGCCAATTATGACTCTCTGTTAACAAAATAGAGCTGTCTACTGGAGGTGTCTTTCTCTCCCCATTTGCACAAAGCAGCAATTCAGTTAAAGGTCTCTTTCACACAGCTCAAAAGTTTCATCTAAAACGATGAATGATCTCCACTTTATTTCATTCGTGTCATCATTACTCTTCTTTATTGCCACCCTCGTTATTATAAATTATGGTTCTTTCACCATTCGATAAATTCAGTAACTTTCATCTTTATGTGCTTTTAAAGTTCAGCCTAAGAAGGAGGTCTTCTGTATGAAAAGGAACCCTCTTAATCATGAGAGATAGTTTAAAAGACCTGTGTTACATGAGGCGAGGTGTCAACAGAAACTCAGCACCTTATTGTTAATCCCATCGGCAGCACACTAAAGATTTTTTTTTTTTTATTAGATCCTTTCTGCTTTTTTCTAGCAGAACAATTACAACTCCTTTCTGACTCCTATAAAAGATTTTCAGTATTATACAACAGCCCTAACGGGCCAAATTTCCTGTAAATTACTGACCAAATCAAAATCTCCCACAAAACTAGTAAATGACCTTGATTTCATGCACAGCAAGGATTATAACAGGGAGTATTTATAGACATACACTCACTGGCCACAACTTTGAACCTCCTATAAAAGCCAGGCAGGCAAGTGTTTCCTTTTCCCAAAATGGCCTCTATCAGTACAGCTTATATTACGGGGGACTACAGCATTGCATGTTGCTCAGGTATGTATCTTAGTTTCTTTCCTGATTTAAAATTCTTTTTAGATTAAGGAGGGAAAAAAAAAAAAAAAAAAAAAAAAAAGTGTTCCTAGGATAGGAAGGCTGTTGCTTCAGTTCAGCTCCCAACAGAAGGTTACAGAAAGATCTCTAAAACCATGTCTATCTCTAAGATTGGTAAAAATCTTCCTATTTTCAGATCCTGCTAGGAAAATAAAATCTTGAGAGCTATTTGCTGTTTCCCAGGTACCTTCACAACCACAACGTGGTATTTGCTCTTGCATCAGTGCTCCTTGGCAGACTCTGCACTGTGAATAAAGCAGTGCTGTAGTGTCGCCTAGTGGGAAGTTCTACTGACTGCTCCGTTTCCTCTACTGATAAATGCTGTATTACAGMAMAAAAAAAAAAAAAAAAAAAAAAAAAGGCAAGCATGTTATTTTCAACTGCTTCCTGATATTTTGCCCACCATGATTTTTTTTTCTTTTTGCCTAAAAAGAGGATAATAGACTAGAAAAACATATATACTATCCTAATCCTCTCCATTGTGAATTACTAGTCTCTTTCACTTGGGTTGTTTCATTACTTTCATCTAGAACTACTTCAGTTTTCTCTCAGGGATTCCAGTGACTTATGAAATTAATTTCAAGCTGATTCTTTCAGTAGTAACAAGGGTATTTTTTTCTCAAGGATGGCATGAGCTAGTGCATTTGGATTGGGAAACATAAAGCTGTGGTTGAAGTAATAACTGCTTTGACTTAAGACAGGTGCAATGACTCAACTGAAAATAATTTCAGGCTCTTAAGCAAGCTCTTTGATTAGAGCTGATTGGAAAAGATGTTAACTGATTAGCTGCACTGTGGGTGCAATAACAGTTAAACTGCTGTCTCTAAAAGTTTAATAACTTGATGGTGCTGATATAATGAGCGAATTAATTTAGTGCTATGGAGGATTTTTTTTTTTAATTCCTGAAGGAAATATATTATCCTTTGCTACTAATAATGCTTTTCCTCAGTTCATACATCTCAATGCACAAGTGGGCAAATGACTCAAGGCTTGTAGGAAAGGGTGGGAAGGAATACCACACCTGAAGCAGCTAATCTTCTATTGTTATGTGATGATGCTGTAGTCACTGGAAGATCATTCTTGATAGCTCCACCATGTAAGCATACATCTTTCTAGCTGATCCTTTTGAATGGTTTGTCTGAATTCTCTTGTTGATTCTTCTCTTAAAACTAGATAGTGAAAAAGTGACAAAGTTCAGTAACTTCCTTGTCAAATATATGAACTGAAACGGAAGTGATAATTTAACTTTTTAAATAACAACAACAAAAAAATCCTTTAAGCTGTGCCCTATATAAGCTACATACTCTATGGCTGAGTTAACGCTGTAGGGAAACTATTACACTTTGTAAACAAACAAACAAAGAAGACTCCCTTATACAGAGGTCACTTAGAAAGTCGCAAGGCTTCTTGCTTGCTTTAAAATGAAAAGGAGGAAGAAAGAGGACATTTAATGTGGTCTGTGACTGACTTCCTAAAATTAGTCATTTTGACCATGTAGTCATAACTCATATGACTGCGTAGCAAAATGTTTCTACCAATTTTCTTTCTTATAGTATAAAAGTTGCTATACAAGCTCCAACATGCGCCAAAATAAAACAGCCAAATATTCCTTTACTATGCACATTAGTTTTTCTAATAGTAACACACAGAAAGATGATTAATAAAGTGTCCTAGTTTCACTGGATATTTTTAATGTTTATCTGACTGTTGCGTTAAACTAGGCAGTCTAATGAGTCATGACCTTATGGGAGCAGGATAGTGGGAGATGAGTAGGAGTCTTGTTTTCAGTGACAAATTTTTCATGTCTTGTTCCTTAGCTTTCTTGACAGAGAAAGGTTATTTCAAAGTCCAAGTCTGTTTTGCTTCTCTAGCCAATATTGTTCTGATTCTAGTATTGGGTGGACTGTAAAAGGCAGAAAGTCAAGGTCAAGGCTTGCTCAAATCGAATAATTATATTAATGCAGTCAAACATAAGATCCTGCAAAGCAACTGGGTAATACTTCCTTACAGACACACTGTCAAATACTACTTCAGTCCACAAGATGGAGTACAACTTATTTCTTTACCCCTTAGCAAATGTAGCTAATAGTCTATATTCATCTTTAGTAATGGCTGAAGAAGAGGCTGTTGATATGATTTCTCAACAAAAATATTAAAGTTTCCCTGCTTTGTGGAATAAAGATGTTAAATTTTCAGTCTTTGAGAATTCTAGAAGACAGAGTAAAACTTTAAGTTTGTAGTGGAAGAACAAAATACAGACCTGACTATTTCCTTTGCTGCAAGACTACTGAAACGAGTCTGCAGTCCTGCTATTCCTTCCCCTCTTCTCAATCTGGTTATTTCTTATGGGAAGAAAAAGGAGAGGGGAAAAAAAAAAGTCATTCCCTGCCCTCCCCCCCCACACACACACACACACTGTATCAAGAACTGATGCGCAGGCTTTACTAACCCATGGCTAAATGAACACAGCGTCCTGGGCACAGACATGCCCGGATGGAGAGCATGGATGCTCTACCCCGCTCTGCCGGCTGCCCTGCTACTCCAGAGCCCTGGTAAGGCCAAACTTCCCAGCCAGTACCAGTTCCCCTCTGTGACCCATCCCTGCTAACAAACGAGGCTGCTCTACACTAATGAAGCACCCCCACGCACTACAACTCGTTTATAATGTCACTGATGTTAGCTAGCACCTTTCACGACTCCAAACTTGCCATATGTGTATACACACATTTTAATCAAGTTAGTGTAGCTTGAATTACAGATGAAGTAATATGAATTTTTAAGTTTCATTTGAAAAAAAAAAGGGGGGGCGTGGGAAGAGGGGAAAAAAAAAAAAAAAAAAAAAGATTTCAAAGGCTGCCACGGTGTTTTCTAATGGAAAGCACCGCTGGGGGCCGGGGTGCGCACTAAGCGCGGGGCGCGCTCCCGCCGCCGCCGCCCGGGGCGCTCCGCGCGCTCCCGCGCAGCCGCCGCGGGGCGGGGCGGGGCGGGGCGGGCGCCGCCGGCTCATGACTGGCGTCACGTGACCCCGCCAAGATGGCTGACGGCGAGAGCTGCAGCCCGGCGGGCGCGGAGCGGGGAGAAGACTTTGAAATTATCGACAGAAACCTCGTTCCCAACGCCGCCGAGCTGAAAGATGAGGGGAAAGGGAAAGCCGCGGAAGAAGCGAGGTGGTCTGCGCCCATCTTCTCGCTGGCTAAGAAAGCCTCGGAAAACTTAGCGCTGAGCTACGGCCACGCTTTGAAGTCTGCAGCTTTGGTAGGATTCATGTCCAAACCCGTGGGCAATGACAGCACCGCAAAAACAAGTATGGTTGTTTCTTTAGTTACCTTGCTTTTCTGGTGCACAAATAAGTTAGCTCCTGTAAGTCGTGGCTCTTGGTGTCAGTGGTGATTATTACTCTGATTTTTAAAACTCTGTTAAGGAGGCTTGGACAACACAGACATAGAGCTTAATGAAATTATTATAGCTGGGAAAATCCTACACGCTTAGTATATTTGGAAAAGCTGACTTTATTTTCTCTACCTAAGGCTTTTGATTACTTTTTCCTTCTCCCTGAAAGTTCCCCTCGGAGCAGCCTGACTGCCCAGGCAGGGGGTGGGGCTCATTCCTGATCCTTCCTAGGTGGTCCCAGAAGGAACTACACCTGTTGGACACTCTTTCATGGCAGAACGGCTAGGAATTAGATTTATTATAAATTATTTTTTATCTAAGCTAAAATCCCTCCTTAGTTAATTATAGCTTGCTTTATTAAACATTCCTATTTATGGATGTAACAATCCTCATGGATACCTGGAATGAGTCTCTCTCAACTGAATTAAAACAGCTCTAATTATCTTTAGGATCTTAGTGCAGATTGAGTCACTTGATACCTCAGAGTATACTGGAAACAAACTGGTCAAGTGTGGTAGTGACTGGTGACATCAGTCTTGTCCTCCAGGCTCCTAGGCTAATGTTAGTGTTTCTGGACCAGGGGAGGTCACTTATGGTCCTGACTTTGTTCTTAATGATTCTTAGTACTCAAACTGGAGTTCTGTGGGGATGAATTGTGGCTCTTGGCGAAATAAGAAACTATTTGGTGGAGCAGGGGGCTTGTTTAGGGGATTTGGATATGCGTGTATGTGTGTGTAAACATTCCTTGATTCTTTGTGAAACCGGAAGAGATTAAAATAATATTCTAGTTTTCCAGGACATAATTTAATTTCCTCATATCTATTACACAGTCTCAAACCAAACTTCAGATTTGTTTTCTGTATGCCCAGATTGAGAACCTGAAGAAAGGGCAGACTATCCCAGTCTTCAGGTGCACTGGGATTGGTGCTACAAACCTACACCACCCAACAGAACGTGCAGCATTTAAGGGGGCTTCAAGACATTCTCCCTGACGTAGAACGCCCAGACTAGACTGCACTTTTGTCTTTCACCAAATCTTTCAGCTTGCTATCTGTAAAATAAGAGAATACAACACCACCTCACAAGACTGTTCAAAGTATTTAGATAATATGTTGAAAGGCTTTATTAAAAAATTCTATGTAAAAAAAAAAAACTGCTTATAAACTAGATATAGATTAAAAAAAAAATAATGAGCAGGCCTAACCTGCTCTGCCATGTGCAGTGGCTCCATCATTACCCTTGACTAAGCACAGTAAATTTGATTTTAAAGCAGGTATTTTTTTAAAATAACCTTCTTGTTTGGCCTGCAAAAAAGACCTGTGTAGTGCTAGCAACTTGTTCCTTCTCGACGTATTTTTCAGAGATTTTAATCTCTACCTGCTACTACAGATCTGTTGGTCATTTTTAAAGGAACTAATTAACATGGACAGATAGAAAAAGAAAGGCACACTGTAAAACTAGTGTCTGCCACTGAAGAAACTCACCTGCCTGTCTGGAAAGGTGAGGAACTACCAATCTAAACACAAATCAGGATTTGCAGTCTTAAAAACCCAGAACTGTCGATTTTTCTTTATGCTTCAGTTTTTTTCCTACTTCAAGGTCTGCTGAATAGCATGCAGTAAACAAGCACAGGGATTCAAAATGATCTTAAAACAAATCTGTTGGATGAGGTAAGAGACTGTGTGACCATGTCTTTAATGACTGCACCATAATGTCTGTGATCTTTTGCACTTGAGCAGCTCGGTTTCTAATCTTCAGGCCTGACTTCAGAAATCTGTGCTGCTCTAATAACCTGGCTATTTTGCATGTACCAACTTGTACAAAAGAAGCACTTGACTGTCTAAACTTGCAATGGTTTAAAAACTAGAAATGGTGTATTTAAACTTTGTATAAACATTTATGAAGATATGTTTTTCATTTAAAATTGTTTGTAAATAAATTTTCACAAAATTATAAAGACTTGTGACTAATACAATATATATATCCAAAGCAAGGCTTACAAGTGTAAAGCATACCTAAAAATCCAAGTTCAGGAAACCATCGAAATAACTCGATAAGCTGCTGCTGAAGCATCCTAACACTTATGAAAGGATGCTGATGATGCATTTCTATAGCCAGCTGTGTTTTAATCCTGTTTCTGTTGTCTAGCCTGTCAATGCTGGCATCAAAATTTCAAAATATTCCAACCCTTCTAATTCTCAGCCTCATCTCAAACATTACGATCAGCTCTGAGACATCCACTGCGCTGACAGTAGGTAGTGGTTAGGAGCAGCCTACCGAGCATACAAGACTCTGTGCTTCTTTTTGACTTGGGATGTTGATTAGTAAGATTCTGTTTTGGCTCTTGTGACACAGAGGACTTTGTTGCACTAATAGTCCTGAATTAACATTCTGTGCACGATAACGTAATAATGAAAATTAGTACCCCCAGACTCTTGCATGCTGTTAGGCGTAGCATTAGCTCACTGCATGAGTGACGCGGGGGCTCTACCTGTAACCTGGGTCCTCTGTGACTGTGTTTCTGCAGGGAGCATTAGGTTTGATCCGCAGGTGAGAGCAGGTTCTCCTAATGCAACGGCGCCGGCGTAAGGGCCCTTGTACCTGGCCAGGGCCCTGCGGCACCTGCCGGGGGCTGCCCTGGCTGCGGATACGCGGCACTTTCTGCCTTTCCCCTCTCTGTGGGGCGAGGCGCTGCCCTCTCCCCGCAGGGAAAGGGGAGCCGGGCGCCGCTCGGCTGGCGCTGAGGAAAGCGCGGGGCGCGCTGCACGGCCCCGAGCAGGCTGAGGCCTCCCTGGGCCGCGGTTCTCGCCCTCGCCGCTGCGCTGCGGCCTCTCCGGGGCCGAGGGCGGCCGCGGGGCGCGGGAAGGGGCAGGGACGGCGAAGGGCGCCGCGCACGGAAAACCCTTTCTAAAATGGCGCCCGCCGCCGCGCGCCGGTCTCGCGAGACCCGCCGCGGTGGGCGGGGGGGCTGTTTCTGTGGTAACGGGGGCGCCGGGGGGGCCTCGCTGCCGGCCCCGCGGGGAGGGGGGAGGCGCCCCCGGTACCGGCACCGGCTCCGGGCTGGCCCCGCCGCCCTCAGCCCCGCGTTAACCCTCGAGCTCCCCGCACACAGCTGGGGGAGGAGGGGGCGCCTTGGCCTCATTTCACCCCTCGGCAAGATGGAGACCGAGCCGGCGGCTCCGCTCTCACCACCCCCGTGACAGCCACGAAAGGGGAGCCTGCGCTTCTTAAAAAGCGAACAAACAAAACAAAAACATATATTTTTTCCACATCTTTCTTTATTCTTTTCCCGCCTGTGTGCCAGTTGCCCGCTGCCACGCCATGGAGGAGCGCGCGAACCTCATGAACATGATGAAGCTCAGCATCAAGACGCTCATCCAGTCGGCGCTGAGCCTGGGCCGCACGCTCGACTCAGACTTCCCGCCCCTGCAGCAGTTCTTCGTGGTGCTGGAGCACTGCCTCAAGCACGGCCTCAAGGGTGAGCGCCCGCCAGCCCCGCTGCCCCCTCGCTTGGCCTTTCACGGCAAATTCGTATTAAAGCTGTGCCCTGTAACTTCCTAATCCGTGTTCCCTGTATGCATATATGCTTGTCTTCTGATGTACCCTGTATTGTCTGTTGCTCGGGGGTTTTTAATGTCCTATTCCCCTCGCAGAACTTGCTAAGATTAAGTAAAAGGCTAAAATTTGCGGTCTGCAGTTGAAGGTAGAAGCCTCTCGTTTTTTTCCCCACAAACCTCTCTGTGTGTTCTCTTTAGTGAAGAAGACTTTTATTGGACAGAACAAATCGTTTTTTGGCCCTTTGGAAATAGTGGAGAAACTTTGTCCTGAAGCATCAGATATAGCAACTAGTGTTAAAAATCTGCCAGAGTTAAAGTAAGTTGATTCCTGGGAATGATACAAATCGCCTATACCTCTGGGGGAGGAAAAAAAGAATCCTTCCCTCTCACCTTGCCTTATGGGGATCTCATTCCCAAAGGGGATGATCGTGTATTCTGGGGCACTGGCTTTTCTGAGAGGGCATCTTAACCTGTTCTGCAATTCTGATTCTACAGTGCTGTCAGATTAAAAATAGCATTTGAAAACTTTTGAAGTTTTTTTGAAGATCTTTTAATTTTACCAAAACTTGCAACTTTTCCTTTTAGGACTGCTGTAGGAAGGGGAAGGGCTTGGCTTTATCTTGCACTCATGCAAAAGAAACTGGCAGATTACCTCAAAGTACTCTTGGACAACAAGCATTTACTAAGGTACTAGAACAAGCACATGTAGGTTGTATTCACTGGATCCTTGAATTATTTTATAGTAAGAGATATTTAATTGACAGTTTAAGTTGGTTTTTGTTTTGTTTTGTTTTTTTTTAGTGGGGTTTTTTTTTTTTTTTTGTGCAACCTACAGAGGAGTAAATTATTCATTGGTTTTGCAGGGAACAAAACAAGCAGACTATATTTCTATGTAAGCTCTGCATCTTCCGCCTTATACAATAAATTGCTGAGGAGGGACTGATCAGACTGTACATTATTGCTTTAGAAGGACTGCATAGGCATATGTGACTGAAGTGATAGAAGTGCTATTTTAATTGTTATAACGTGTACTGCTGGCTTGTAATGTTTCTTGTAGTGAATTTTATGAACCTGATGCATTGATGATGGAAGAGGAAGGAGCCGTCATTGTGGGTCTGCTAGTTGGACTGAATGTTATTGATGCAAACCTTTGCTTGAAAGGAGAAGATTTGGATTCCCAGGTGAAGATTATAACTTAAATAAGATCAGCCATTAAGTTTCCTGTACCAGTTAAGCACAATCCATAAAAACTTGAACAAAACTGATCTAGAGTTCTTAGATCTGATAGAAAGCTTGGATTGTTTTTGCCTGTGCTTTCATAGGCAAGCATTTGAATGCCTTCTGAGAAATCAAAAGTGAACTAAGATAATTACAAGAGATATATTTGGAAGACTAGTGTGCTAGTTTAAACTTTGTTTTATGGATTGTGAGAGACTTTTTAGGGTTGTGGGAGGGATTCTGTAGTGTGTGTATTGTGTTTATTTTTATTCCATGTATTTTTATTTCATGTGTGGAACAGCTCGTAGAATCACTGTTAAAATTAATAACCTCTAGGACGCTGAGCACACTATGGTAATTTGTTTTTCAGGTTGGAGTGATTGATTTTTCCTTGTACCTTAAGGAAACTCAGGACAGTGATGACAAACAGTATGTATGATAATTTTCTGGCTGTAATTACCAGCATGTGTGGATGGTGCTGGTTTGTTTTGTTTTATTTTTTAAGGAACAAGCAGTCAGTGCTACAGATCTCTCTGATTCTTGTAATTATCCAAAAAAAAAAAAAAAAAAAGATTCATAAGTGGATTTTTTTGCTAAACCAAAGCTCTAAGAGGTTGAACTATGATTAGTTTTAGCAGCAGTACAATATGCAGAGTCTGTTGTGCCCTGAACTCGGGACCAAATTAAGAGAACTAGAAGTTTCAGTTAGCGCATTTATTTGTTCTTAGGTAGCGTGACCTGCCAGGTCACCTGCTAAAACACTGCCTCGAATTGTTCAGAAGTGTTTTTGTTTAAGGAGCTCCCTTTTTGGGAGAGGTCGGTTAAGGAAAAAGCAGTCAGCTACTTACTGAGGTGCTCAGTGAAGTGTAACTGGTAGTATCACTGTCTTGGAAGACTTGTGGATGGAGAAGGCCTCATAGTTTATCTCTTGCACTTCAGAGCACTTCACTTTTTAGCAGGTGAGGAGATACAGCAATGCAAGATATGAGGAATGACAAATACATAAAATATAGGGAATATGTCATGAGATGAGTAGTACCTGGAACTGCTTTTAGTCCTTCCTTTCTGAAAAGAAAGACTGGCTTTGAGGTCAGTAACATATCTTGAAAGCTGCTGTCTATCTTAAAAGCATATTCCAGTTCTTTTCATTTTCTTAATGTTTTTCTGAAAACCATGCTGAAGTTGGCTGTAAGTGAAGCAGAGTGGAAAGTATTCTGTAGAACATCCACATGCTTCCTCCCCCAGCCTTAGGAAATGTATTTTCTCAAGCTTAGTGTGTAAGATTAAATGAAGAGGGACACATAATATAGTTTTGTAATACATGCTGCTCTGGAAATCTGTCCTTTCACCTCTAAAATCTTAATGATATCTCAGTTTCTAATTTTTAGTCTGATAATTTATGTTCTTATTGCTTCTAGTCTAGCTCTCTAACAAGTATTTTTATAAGGAAAGAAAACACAAGTTCTGTTCAAGTTATGTTTGCAAGCCTATGCTGAAAACCTTAGTACAAACTAACTCTTTAGAGTGAAGTTTCTTAATAAATCAGTTTTCATTTCTGTAACTAGAGATGGAGGGATTACTGCTGTGCTTGACCAGAAGCATTATGTAGAAGAACTTAACCGACATCTAAGGTGAGATTTCTGTCTATTCTGATGTACAAACATTTGTTCTCTGTAGTCTTTCTGGTATGGCTTTAAATAACTCTGTTGTCAGTCCTGTAGATTTTTGTCTGGCATTGAAAAACTTCCTTTTTCTGTTAAAAAAAAAAAAAGAGAGAGATAATTGTTACAAGGACATCTGGGAGTTTGTTATTTTCAGATGAAGATTCTGTGCTTTTTTTCTCATGGGTTGTTCAGTGGGAGGAACAGCCTTCCCTTACCCTCTTGAGCATTAGACTGCAAAAGCTAAACAGGGCCACAAACTTCTACATTTGTCTCTGGCACCCTATTGTATTGGCCTCTCGTAACTCAAGACAAGTGTCCTTACTGTGGATTTCTCCCAGGTCACCAAAGTAACTCATTGACAACAAATACAAGATGGTAGCAAAGATTTGGGAATAAATACTGAATGTGGACGTTTTTTCTATTGGTTTATACGTTTTGTTTTCTTTGTTTTAGTTGCACAGTTGCAGATCTTCAGAACAAAATAGACTGTTTAGAAAAGACCAATTCAAAACTCCAGGAAGAGGTTTGAGCCTATTCCATTAAATATTTCTTTTTCTAAACCTTCCTTATTTTCCCTCAGCTCACTGCTGTCGGTGGCAAAACTCCCGAAGTACGAAGTACTTACGAAGTACAGGGGATTCGTGTAAGCTAGCAGGCTCTGGGGAAATCTTCTCTATTATGCTAATATATTCTTCTCGTATGAAGAGAGGCTGAGCGAGCTGGGCCTGTTTTCTCTGGAGAAGAGACGGCTCAGAGGGGATATGATTAATATGTATAAGTTCAGGAAGGGAGAATGCAGGGAGGAAGGGGACAGGCTGTTCTCACTGGTGGCCAGCGATAGGACGAGGGGTAATGGCCACAAACTGAAGCACAAGAAGTTCCGTCTCCAGGTGAGGAGCAACTTCTTTACTGTTAGGGTAACAGAGCAGTGGAACAGGCTGCCCAGGGAGGTTGTGGAGTCTCCTACTCTGGAGGTCTTCAAAACCCGCCTGGATGCCACCCTGTGCCACATGCTCTAGGTGTGCCTGCTTGAGCAGGAAGGTTGGACTAGATGATCTGTAGAGGTCCCTTCCAACCTTAAATATTCTGAAATATTCTGAAATATTCTGAAATAATAGTTCCTTAGGGGCTTTATTTGTTAGAAGGTGTTCCTTAAGTTTGGTCTATATCTGCATTGTCCAGTTTCCAGTCCTTTTGGGATATCTTCCCATTAAAATGTGTTAAGGCTTCATCAGTAGTTGTTAGCCCTGTCTTATGTCTGCTAGTTGATTCCTGAACAAACACCACAAACTTGTGCATTTGGCTCAAGGACTGTCTTATGACTCTTAGTAGTAAATAGACTTTTAAGGGTTGAGCAGAGGCCTTAACTCATGTAGGAAGAAGTTAAAGTGATAATCCACTGAAAAAATTGCAAAGAATGGCACAAACTAACTTAGTTTCTCTAGTAATTTGCATGACACTTCTTTGTTAGCACTAGGACGCATTTCTGTATCCAGTAGATATTCAGAATAACTGATGAGGGCAGGAAGCAGAGTTAAAGTGAGCAAATGTTAGGGAGATTCCTAAATTTGGCTGTAGAGTGGATGTCTTTGCAAAGGAAGGAGGTGCTGGGGAGCAGGAGGAAGCCAGGGAGAGAAGTGGGTGGTGCACCTGCTACAAAAGCTGAGCTACAAATGTTAGGACTCCTCCAGATGTTAAGTGCTTAAATATTGATTAAATACTGATATAATCCTTTCATAAACAGCTTGCAGCAGCAACTGACCGAATTGGATCGCTGCAGGAAGAGCAGCAGCAGTTAAAACAACAAAATGAATTGATTCGTGAACGGAGTGAAAAAAGTGTAGAGGTAGGACACCTGATTAAAAGAACATGCGGTGCTTAAAATAAGACTTTGGTTTTGATTAACTTTGAATTTGAATGCTAAACATATAGTCAGACTAAATGCAGCTGTTGATCATTACTTATTAGTGTTGATCATTATATATTAGTGTATAATATATGCAGACATAAGGTTTCACTCTACTACTGACCTAAACATGTACCTGCAGAATGGAGAGGGGCTTAAAGTCATATAATGGTTACTCTCTGGTTTCAGTCTATTCTACTTCTTATTCTTCTTTTCTTCTCTTTGACAGATTATTACTTTTAAAAATAAGAGGATTTTGCTTGAAATGGCACAGTAGCATACAGGATTTCACAGAAGAATTTGAGACCTACTTTAAATACAGGGTTTTGTCTCTTTCTTCCAGGTAACAAAGGAAGACACAAAGGTAGAACTGGATACCTATAAGCAGTCACGCCAGGGTCTGGATGAAATGTACAGTGACGTCTGGAAGCAGTTAAAAGAAGAAAAAAAAATCAGGCTGGTGAGGAAACGACTATATAAAGTGAAAAAAACAGGTTTTGTCTACTTTAATGTATTCTTGATATTAGAAAATAGATAATTACTATGTAGAGTTTTATGGGTTCTGGAACCACTTATCCCTGATGCATGATGATATAGCAGTAACTAGGAAATTTCGTTGTAAGGAACTAGAGAAAGAGCTGGAGTTACAGATTGGAATGAAAACCGAAATGGAAATAGCCATGAAACTTCTGGAAAAAGATACTCATGAGAAACAAGACACTTTGGTTGCCCTCCGCCAACAGTTAGATGAGGTGAAAGCCATTAACCTGCAGATGTTCCACAAATCCCAGGTGGGTGCTGAAGGGGGAACAGAAGGAGCATCTCTAGTGGTCTTCACTTGTTAATCACAAGACCAAGGGGGCATGTGCACATATGTACCTCTGAAGGAACTCTATGCATTCATTTTATTAGGAGTTTCTGTTTTAAAAACGCAAAAGGAATTGCTTTACTTCTGATGCCCTCTGTCATTGGTGATGTGAACCTGGGCATGTTTGGACAGAAAGCAAGTCTCCTTGAACATGCCGTGTGGTTTATCATGGGATCTCTCAAGAAATGGAGAGCCCTCAAAAGGCAGAGGGGGGTTTTAAGGGACCTTTATTCTCGCTACTGGGTGCTGCTTCTTCTGACTGGGTGGGTCTTCTGAGAAATGATGCAGCTGTTACAATCAGCTTATAATAGTGATATAATTGATTTGTTTATCCTGCTTATGTAATCTGATAATTTGTTTCCTGAAACTCCTCTCTAAACGAAACAGCAACTTTGCCTTGTAGATGTTCTCTTAGAGCTGTAGTAAGTATTGATCTAACAATATGAGTTGAGGAGTGTCTGTTCTGGCCTATCTGTGGTTCTTGGTGTCCTGCTTCTATCTTCTGGTTAAACCCAGGCACAGTCCGCAAGAAGTCAAAACACATCATTTGTGGTGACAGACCTTTGTTAAACACTGTTACTGGATGCTTTAGAAAACTAAAAGGAAATACTTGTTCACTTTGTTCCTGCAGAATGCAGAGTGTTCATTACAACAGAAAACAGAAGCAATATCGTCTTTTGAAGACAAAACAAATGAGATGATGTCTGCTATGAAACAAATGGAAGAGAGGTAGTAATTTCAAGCTCAAAACTGTAGTAGAAAGGCTCCAGCTCTCTTTAGTTCTGGAGTTCTATAATGTGGGCAGTAGATCTAAGGAGGGGAAAAAAAGAATAAGTTACAGTGTAAGGAATGTGTGAATCAACTACAGCAGTTTGTGACCCTTATTCTGTTGTAGATTGCAGCAAGCAGAAAAGGCCAGGCAGGCTGCAGAAGAAAGATGCACCAAGATGAAGCAAGAACTTGCTGGCAGGCTTGACACTTGTCGGCAGCAGATGTCCCAGCTGGATAGCAAATGGTATTTCAGTTCATCATTTTTTTTCCTTTGTTCCTGTCATTTCTTTGTGCTTTGCATCTCTTTTGTATTAAGAGCTAAAAAGTGATGGATTTGAGCCTTTAGATTTAGTAAGTATTGATGGAAGTATACTAGGAAAGTGTATCTAGGAAAGATGGAAATATATCTAGAAAAGCAGAGTAAATGTGTGTGAAATGAACACTAAGGTGAGGATTTTGAAATGTGTTTTCAAAGCATACCAGCATATTCCAGCGTACCAGTAAAAATCTGGTCACTGAGGACTAATAATAGATCTTTCAAGGACTTTGTTACTAGCTCAGGAGATAAATATGGTCACGCTTCTGGCCTCAGGGTGTAAGTGGCTAATTCCTGTAGGAAAGGCTTCTTCCACTGTTCAGACTTCAGAGTATGGTGTCAGTTTAATCACAGCTGCGTAAACACCACTAGTCAAATATGTACTTGGAAAAAAAAAAAAAGAAAAAAGCCAGCTTAGCCATTCATCAGCACTGCCACTTGTTTGCTGTAACCTGAAAACACCAATACAATTTTGGTGCCTGTCATAACACTCCTGTTCCTTCCCTGCCCTAAGCACTGCCCTAGTTTTTGCCCCTTTTTGGACAAGCTTCCTCCTTCTTGTACCCCTGCTATTCTTATAGCCCCGTAGGATATTTCCTGCTTTCTTACACCACATATTTCTAAACAGCTGCAGTCTGGAGAAAGAGTTAAAATCTGAGAAAGAGCAGAGGCAAACTTTGCAAAAAGAACTACACCAGGAGAAGGACACTACCACACTGCTTAAAACAGAACTGCAGCAAATGGAGGGACTGAAGAAGGTAGGTGCAGAGTAAACGTGCTGCTGTTCAGGATTAAAGCTGGCCTAGATCCTCAGCAATACTTTCCTCTTTAGCTGAGTGATTTCTTCTGCACCATCCTCTTCCCTTGAGCACTTTCGGAAAACGGGCCGGTGTAACATAAACCGGGAAGCATGTGAATCTGGGATGAGACAGCTGGGCACAAAAAACTCACAGATAAACTGTATGTAACAGCACATGTTGGGTCTTTTGACTGTGTATATTAAAATAAGTACATGCTTTCAAGCCTTTAGAATAGGAAAGGATGTGTTTTAATTGGATTTTAAAAAGCATGAGAATTCTTATTACACTAAAGAAAATCTGCTCCTGCATATTGATCCATTTAAATGTTAAAGGCACAAATTGTACACCAGTATTTGTCTGTGTACCCACATATGTGGGCACAGGGTGCTGCGTTCCGGCTAGGCTCAAGGATGGTTAGGACAAGTCTGAGATTTTGTGCTTGTTTTTCATAGGAACTGAGAAAACTGCAAGATGAGAAGCAGCAGTTAGAGAAAGTCTGTGAGGAGCAGGAACAAGCTCTTCAAGAAATGGGGCTTCATCTCAGCCAGTAAGTCCTAGGAACTGAACTCCTGAAAGTGGCAGGGCTTGGAGGACCAGTTATCAAACCGACACACAAAACCTTTTGAAACTCATTTTTGTCAGTGAAGGGGAGGATTTTATGAAGCAATTGCTATTATACGTAGGAAACTAGTTGGCCATGGTGTGAGAAAGCAAGGGAAAGAGGTTCTTGAATGGGTGAAGTGGCTAGGATAGAAAATGGAGCACAGTAAAAAGCCAGTCCTCATAGTGGAATTCTGTATTTTTCCACTGTGTGTGAACGGGAGGTGAATGGGTGCATGTGAAACCCAGCTCATCTGAGAGCCTCTTGGGGGCCTGACAGGCAGCACTTTGAAAATAGTAGCCCAGTGTTCAGCAACACGAAGGGACCTGGATGTTAGTCCCTAGGGACTAAAGGAAAGACCAGACTGCGCTTCTAGTCCAGGGGCTGTGTTTCTGATGCTGCATGTAGTTCTGGAACTCGATCTCAAAAAAGTTACTGAAATGGAAAAGCTTGGAAAAAAAACAGCTTTTCAAAGGTGTCAAAAATCAGTGGTACGACTGGTGGTACTTTCTGTAAAACCATTCATTCTTTTTTTGATATGGAAACTTTTTTTCCCCCAGATCTAAGCTGAAGATGGAAGATATTAAAGAAGTAAATAAAGCACTAAAGGTACTTTACACCTAACCCCTGCCCTGTGAGGAAAGGCTGAGAGAGCTGGGCCTGTTCAGCCTGGAGAAGAGAAGGCTGAGGGGGGACCTGATCCATGTCCATAAATACCTTGAGGGAGGGAGTGAGGAGGAGGGGGCGGCCTCTCTTCAGTGGTAGCCACTGATAGAACTAGAGGAAACGGCCACAAGCTGAAGCACCAAAAGTTCCACAGGAACTTGAGGAAAAACTTCTTAACAGTGAGGGTGACAGAGGCCTGGCACAGGCTGCCCAGGGACGTTGTGGAGTCTCCTTCTCTGGAGATCTTCCAAACCCGCTTGGACTCAGCCCCGTGCCCCGTGCTCTGGGTGAGGCTGCGTGTGCAGGGGGCTTGGACTAGATGATGCCTAAAGGCCCTTTCCAACTTTAAGGATTCTGTGAGCTCATGGATATTTTGACTAAACAAATGCTTTTCCTTAACCTTTATATTTCATTCTACAGTTAACTCCTAATTCTTGGTGAATTCTCTCTAATAGACACAGTTTATTTATGTATGCTGATTTTTTGTTGTTATTTCCTAGGGTCATACCTGGCTGAAAGATGATGAAGCCACACACTGCAAGCAATGTGAAAAGGAATTCTGTCTTTCAAGAAGGAAGGTAGAGTTCTCCCACATTTTTTTTTCTTTTTCCTCACTACATACACAAGAAAAAAGAATTATTAAGGCACTTGTAAGTTGATGGGGAAGATTGACAGCTTCAATTCCAGATGTTGGCATGATGATGGAGAAGTAGAGCAGTATTTCCTGTCTTTAAAATCAGTGGGTTCCTTTTGAAGAGAGGGAGCTCTCTCCCGCAAGGCGGCTCCTCTCCTTTCCCTGCTGGACGGAGCGGGAGGAGGGTTGGGAACAGGGCAGGGGCAGCTGCCTGTGCGGGCGGCCAGGGGCCTTGGGGCTGTTGCTGCCCAGCCCCTTCTGGGGGCCGGGGGCAGCTGGGGCCACCCCACCAAGAGCCCAGCGCTGCAGCCCCTATAAGGTGGTCCCGTGGTGACACAGGGTGAGCAGGGGCTGGCAGCACAGGAGCAGACAGGAGAGGGGCGGGCAGTTGCAGCAGCCGCTCCTCGGCCTGGCCAGGCTGCTGCACCCAGCCCTGTGCAGGGAAAAGGGGCTGCAGGAAGCAGGGGCCCGAGCAGGAACGGGAAGGGACCATTTCCAGAACCAGTTTTACATTCTTGACAGGCTGAGGTTTTAGGCAGCTCTGCTTACTCTGACCCTCTGGTTGCAGCATCACTGCAGGAACTGCGGTGACATCTTCTGCAACACTTGTTCCAGTAATGAACTCGCGCTGCCCTCCTATCCCAAGCCTGTCCGTGTTTGCGATACGTGTCACACTTTGCTGCTGCAGCGATGCTCCTCCAATTCCTCCTAAGGCTTTGGTGGTCTCGAGAGAACCCTTTAACATTGGAAAAGTAGCCATTATTTTTTTAATTCTGAATTTCAGGTACCTTCTGTGCAGCAGATGTGTTTAAATTTTCCACTGTAGGAAATGTAAGAACTTGTATGAGTTATGCAAGTTAATGTTTCTCTAACTGGAATGATTAAGTTTCCATTAAAGTTCTATTTCAGACTAAAATGCAAACTCACTTTTTCTGATTTTATACCAGTTGTTTGTACTAAAACTTGTACATTTCTCTACTAGTGAGCCCTCTGGCTGTTCCTTTTTCTGCACACTGACTTCATGGTTCTACTGTGGCTGCTGTACAGTTTTCTATTTGCTTGAAGAGATGTCTATATGAATTGTCTATAGCAAGAGCTCTATTAGTGTTAATGAATGTGCCTTCACTCAAGTCACTAAGTTATACTTGTTCTCAAAGTATCTGAACATGAGATGGTAGCTACACAATAAAGCCTTTCACAAAACCTGGCAGTAACATTGTCTTGATTTTTTTAAAGGCTCAACCTCCTTACAGCCGCTGCAGGGTAAATGCAGTGTCCACCTTGCTGCACTTGGAGCTGCTAAAAGGTAGCCTAGGGGAGCAGCTGGGGCCAGACTGCTGTACCTAAAGCTAGCGCTGCTGAGGAGCAATAAGCGTTCACTGCTCTTCAGGGGTGAAAGTAAGAACCAAGTCACAGGGTGAATTAACTGCCACTAACTGCTTTAGCCAAAGTCTGGCTGATTCTGCTGCTTCTGTGTCACTGCTCTTCAGCTAGGGAAGGTTCGTGCAACATGGGAGTCTAAGATGGTTACCAGTGAAGAAAATGTCAAGTGTCTGTGTACTACAGTGTACTAATAAACACACATGGGACTAGTGACTCGTGCCTTGAGAGGTACTCCAGCACCTGCAACAATGGCGGGGGGGAGAAAAAGGGTGAAAAGGGCACTTTTTCAAGGTACTTGAAAGGTACCCAAGCTACCCCAAAACTACATGTCTATTAAGCTTTACACATTTAACTAGAGAAATCAACCAGAGCTCCTCTTAGAAGTGACATATATAAACTGCAGCTCCATTCAAGGAAAAAAAAACCAGAAAATAAAGAATTTAAAGAGAGTTGGTTTCAAAGACATCTCAAATCAATTTAAGTTGAACTCCTTGTAAGAAGAGCTGCACTGCGAGCTAGAAACTATTCCAAAGAGTAGTGGCCTAGTGTTAAACCTAAACTAAACCAGCCTCTACTGCCCTTTACAGCACAGGGCAGGGGCAGCCTTGGCCTCTTCAGGCAGCAGGGCCTGGGTGCTCCTTCACCAACCCCAACACTGTGGGGTGACCCTGCCCCAGGAGCACAGAGCTCACAGCAAAGCAGGAGCCCTGTGATACTCCCCTCTGCACATGGATGTATCACACAAGTAGACATGCAAGAAATGAGTTCCAGTTTTTAAAAGGAAGATTTATTTAACAAGTTTCACTTAGCGCAATACACCTAAAAAGGAAATCACAATACAATGAAAGATTAAATCAAGGCCTCAGAATTTTATACGAACACCAAGACCAAAATCCTAAAGTAGCCGTATTGCGTCTCAACACATTTCCCCCATTAACTTAAAAAAAAAAAAAGCTTAAACGTGCCTTACAGGATATTAAAAGAAAGAAACTAGAACTAACATGCCAAATGTTCACTTTGAATTTCAGACACAGCTCCTATTATTGTCTCTTTACAAAAAAGCATGTTTCTTTCAACATGTATTCAAAACAGTGTTGGATGTAATATGGTATAAGAGCAACATTTAACGTAATTCAAACAGCTTTAACCTAAATACGCTTACTGCTTAAATACACTCCTACAACAAAACTAACTTGAGAAACGCTCAAAAGTGTTTAACAGTTATAGTCTTTACTCAACTTGGTTATTACATCCTAGATGAATGTTCATTTCTGTATGTTCAAAAATACTGAACCCGAAAGGTTTTAAAATAACAATCCTGATTTCACTTACAGTAAAGCATAAATCACAAGCTTGTATTGCAAAACTGTTAAACTTAGTTTTTTGTTTTTTTTTTTTCATTTTTTAAAAAAAGGTTGACCAAAAGTCAGCGAATGGTTACATTCCCCAGCCACCACTCATGTTGGACATGTTGGACATGCCGCCCATGCCGTTCACTCCCATGGATGCACGGTTCCCGCTGCTGTAGTAACTGCTGTTCATGGCGCCTTGACTTCCTGGGTCAGGGGTGGGAAAACCAACAGCAGATTACTGGATAGCTCACACCACCGCCGAGTCATTCCCCAAGAGCTCTCTCTCTTGCTCGGCCACCTCACAAGGATACTACACCATTAAGATCACACCCCAAAGTGTCAGCTTACTGCCAGAGTTAAGTTTATTGGATGGTCACTGGTCAATTCTCTCCTCTTCTGAAGGTTTTTCTATATCACGCTGTTTTGAAAGGGCCCAGCCTCCCACCCATCCTACCAGCTTGCCCTGCTCATACTGCTCTAACGTAAACCACATTAGTCTCCAGCTTCCAAACCAAGATTAAACCATAAATATGAACAGACCAGAACCCAGGCGACACTTCCTACCCATTTCAGGTTATTTCATTACTTCCTACCCCTTTCTCCCCATAATACCCTCCAAAAGCCTGCTCTGCCTCCCTTCCCTTCCATTGCTCAATTACTCTTACAGTTCACAGCATCTTGATGTTTCAGGCTTCTTGTCCCCAGTCTATACCGTTACCCTTCCACACCAACGAACAGGACGGGGTACAACATGGTTGCCAGCTGCACTGGATGCCACCTAAGACTAGGAAGGAAATACTCTTACCATATCCACTCATGCTGCTTTGACCACCATATCCTCCTCCATAACCCCCACTCAACTGCTGGTTAGCTGGACCACCATAGCTGGATTGGCTTCCTTTCAAGTTAAGGATATAAATGTTAAGATCCTGTCTGTCAAAAGTCTGTCCATTAACAACAGATCTGCACCCTACCTAAGCACAGCCACTGCACTGGGAGCTGACTCTAACCTAGCAATCTTACTGCCTAAGTATTCATGGGAACAGGCTCAAAAAGCCAGAGCCCAAGTTCTCAAAAGCTGCAGGGCCTCCTGCAATCAAGTGGCAGCAGCTGCTTCAAGAACTGGGGAAAGGGCTTGTGCTTCTGAAAGACAAGGGCAGAGTTTAATTATGCTTTTTTTTTTTTTTTTAAATTGTACTGTCTCTACATGATGGGGTCTCTGTCATTATAACCTGAGACTCAAACTCCGCTTCTCAAATGGCCTCACAGAAGAGTGCTGGCAATGACAGCACCCAGCCCCCTTAAGGGGGCTTGTTGATAAGTTAATTGTACTAATTGTTTTGCATACAATCCTGACAGACTTATTTCTGTTCTGGGCTGCTTGTGCATCTCAGCACTAAGCCCTAACATAGAGGAAGCCACTACTTAAACTTGCTAACTACCACTATTCAAGTTTAACTGCTTCTCTGCACTTCCACAAAGCTCTTTGGTAGTTCAAATAATCAGCTTCAGATTTTCAAGCAGTTTATAATCAAAATAAAGTAGTATCATACACACCCCCCACACCCAAGAATCAGCCCTCCCCTTCCACCCACCCACCAACCCTCACCTTTAAGTTCTACAAAAACACAAGAATTAGGTATCAGGAGAGGTATCTGCTTTATGGAGACAATTGAGTCATTTAGAATTTTCTACTGGAAATTCACATGGCTGAGAGTTTCACTACATCCCGTAGTAATTCAGTCAGCTTCCCTAAATTGCAAATCATCCCCCCCACACACCCCCAAGGCAAGGCTTGAATAGCAAGTGACAAGAACAGATACACTCTCCATCACCACACTGTTACACCCTTTAAAAAAGGGGAGAGGGGAAGAGTAAAGAACAGGCACCTCCCACTTCACTTCCACACCACCACCCCCCCCCCGAACCCGCTCATGCCACCACTCAGCCCACATTCAACACAATAGGTTTTTCAACCTATTAGTCATTCAAATGTATTCCCAAAAGGTTTATATACCTGGCAATGTGCTAGTGTTCCAATCTTGCACTACCCCTTCCGATTCCTTAACTGTGTAATTAAGACAGAATGTTGAATTTCAGTTTTTATGCCAGGCATAAAATAAGCAGGAGCTGCATAAAATCAGCCAGCTTTGTTAAATATGAAATACTTGTTTAAAAGTGCAGTTAGACTGTTTACACATACCCATTGCTCCCATCATTTGACTGCCATAGGCACCACCGCTTCCTCCTGCTGTAGAATTCAGGAAGAGCTCTACATATCTGTGTTCTGGAAGAAAAAAAGTTGGACATGAGAGCATTTCACACCAAATCCATGTGCAGTCTGCATCACTTCAAGAAAGGCCACAATGAAGCTACTCAGTATTTCAGTGGCCTGATGCATCCTGCAACTGTGTGGCAACTGAGGAGCGCTCATACTTACGCATATTTGCTTTGTCTTTGGACATGGCAGCCACTGCATCCTCATGAGTAGCAAATTCAACATCTGCCTCTCCAGTCACTCTCCCATCTGGCCCAATCTCAATGTGTACTCTTACAGGGTTCAGAGGCGAGAAGAACTACATGCAAAATATTCAGAGATTAAAACGCACCAAATCAACACCTCAGGGCTGCGGCAAGTTCTTCCCCAAGTCAGTATTCCTTAGCAGCAGCTCCATTAACATTTCCAGTTATGATCACAGTATTTTAAGTGCTCAATTAAGCATGTCTGCAGGTGCAGAACTCACATTATAGATGTCGTTCTCCGTAGCTCTGTAAGGCAGACCCCTCATGTGGACACAGTGGCCAGTCGTGCTCTGGAAGGTGGATCCCCCGTCGCCGTATCTGTGGTCCGACATTCCTGCAGAGAAGAGAGTCCATTCTAGGTCTTTCAGATGTATTTATGTTACTTTTTAGATGTTAGTAGAAAGTTAGTTACCATTCCTATTAGAGAAATCTTACCTCTTCCAAATCTATCAGAACCAAAACCATAGCCATCACTATACCCATTGTAGTCATCATAACCTCCATAACCTACAAACAGATCGGACAACATTTTTATTTCAACCACATACAGATTTGAAGGCCCACAAGCACATTGCACTGCTATTAGCAAGTTCCCTTCTTCTACAAGAAAAGAAGTCCCCTAAATATAGCAGTAGTTACAAAGAGTAAGGACAAGGTAGAGCAGACACTGAGTTCCAAGGGGAACTGCTTCTCAGGGAAGCAGCTCACCCTCGGACTCCGTGCACTTACCTCCCCCATACGCACCACGTCTCATTCTTTCAAAGCCGCTTCCTCTGCCCAGACTGTTATACCCCCGCGCGACGCCGGGCCTGTCATAGGGGCTTGGTCTCTGCATTGCCATTAGCTTGCGCGGAGGGTCATAGTGAGTCCGCACTTCTG